AACTAGCTCATCTCTGAAACATCTCAGTCCAGGGATACTGGGCTTTTGTTGAGTAAGGGGAAAAGATAAAGAAGAGATGATGACTAAGACTGTGTGTGCCAGCTTAGGCTGAGATTTTTCAAAGCTTCTTAAGAAATTTGGACACACAATTACTGTTTATGGGAAATGAGCATCCAAAGAAAGAAAGCACGGAACAGTGTACCAGATTTCTGCACTCCTGCTACTTTACTGTCAGACTGAAATGCTGCAAGCCACTGATCTGTAAAATGGAGCTGAGCATTCAGGGGCATTTTCATTGCTATTCAAAAAACCCTGATTATGCAGAGAATATTGCTCCAGAAGAATTCTGACTCCTGGCTTTTCTGGCCAAGTGTAACTAGGTGCCCTTCATACTCACCAGTGTCAGGGGAAAGGACTTACAGGATCAGGCAGGGGACTGAACAGGGGCCAGAGTAAGGGCTGGCACCAGAGCTCAGACATAAATTTCAGTGAGAATCGGCTGCAATCAGAACAGACACCTACATTCTCTTCATCCTCGAGTCAAAAATAGGGAAGAACAATCCTGTTCTGCTGGATGGAGGTGATCTTGCTCCAAGCAGCACCTGATCAGGCCATAGACATTTCATTGGGACAGAAAAGAATCCATGATCTTCAGAAATAGATGTCCCTAAGAGAGAGACCTGGCCCCATTTTGCTGGCTGTAATCATATTCCAAACAATGTAATCTGGAAAAAGGAGTGGGAGTCAGGGAGAAGTATGTGAGAGTTGAGTTTCAGCTTCACTTTAATAACTAAAATATAAAGAACCTCTTAAAGAAGAGGGATAGCAGATCAGGATAGGCTCAGCAGCCTCAGAGAAGTCACTGAGGTGGGTGAACAAAGACGATTTAAATCATTGTGGAAAACGTCTCTGTGACCACATGCCTGAAGTAAGCATGCACAAAAATGTTTTAAAACTCTCATCTCATCAAAATCAGGTACAACAAAATTTCCACTACTCCTCCATGGTTTGAGTCCCTGTTGAATTTTTCTGCAGCCTGAAGACAGGCTCCGTTAAAAAGAAACAACCAAACAAAAACCAACAACAAAAACCCCAAAACCCACACCACACAAAAAACCCAAACCAAACCAAAGAAACCCAAAACTTTCATTGTTCTCTGCTTTAAAACAGCACCAATTTCAACAGAAGCAGACAGGCCAATGCTGAGAACTTTTTAAAATACCATCCTCGGTTGTTCGTTTTCTTCCCCCCTCACATGTCTGTTTGCTAGATCCCTAGAGAGTCAGAGGGCAGAGAAAGCATCATCATGAGAGAAAAGTGCTTCTGCTGAACTTCTTGCTTGCCCTTACAAGCAACCATATAAAAAAAGATGGTAGCTGTAAGACTTCCAGTACTAGGAGGGTCAGGTACTTTCTGCCTCCTCTGCAACTTTAACTGAGAGCTACTTTTCCTCTTTGTCCCTGAGGACTTTTTAAAACAGCTGATGATTTCAAAGAGAAACAAAACCTAACCCAAGGGGAACACGGTAAAATCCAAGTTAAAACTGTTGTGGATTGAATTCTTCAAAATTTTCAGAGGCAAGCAATTCCAAACCAAAGAGATCCTCTCCTCCTAGTCTATCCCATAACACCTACATGCTCAGAAGACTCTTAGCTCAGTAACTGATATTATTGTTTGTAAGTCATTGGATACTAGCAGCAATCTTACACTGGTTTCAGCAGGGATTTGTATAAAGACCATATGGTCTTGTGGCTCCAAGTGGAACAGAAATCCAGCCCTAACCTTTAACTGGTCTGTTGTGGGTGCTTTAAATAATATTCCAACACAATTAAGGATGCTATTAAAAGAGCCTGAAGACATCAGTTAGTTGCAGCTATTCTGTTTATACAGAACTCATTATTCTGAGCAAATCCTGTGAAGACTCTTAAGGTGTGCATCAGAATGGACACAAAGGGAGACAGTCAAATGTTGATGCAAAGAGTCAATAGAAAGTTCGAAGCTGCACAAGGCAGGCAACACAGCATGCACTAGTACAGGGCGTAAACAAGGTTTCAGTTGTCATGCTGCTGGCAGGGAGTGAGTCATCACTCCTCTCTCAAGTTTAGTATTGCAAGGAGAAAGTAATTTTAATCTGGGAATACAAATTTAGGAAAAGGACAAGGAGGGTACTTGGCAAGCTTACTGTATGTGGGATGACTCCAGTGATTTCAGGCTTCAAGCCCCTGTGCAAAGCCCCTGTGACTGGAGGGACAAGTGAAGGTGGTGATGAGAAGAATGGCAGTTTCGGGTAAACAGAGGGTAATGTGCCAGATGTGGAGGGTGCTTGGTTATGGTGGGAACCCCTCTGGAGATGTGGGGGAATGAAATCATCTAGAGTCGGAAAAGTCAAGGGTGAGCCAGGAGAAACAGTCTCAGAGAATACGGAGCCTTGCCCGAAAGGAACCAGAGGCGGTGGTGGAGTGCTGGAGCTGCCTTCTTGCTGTCTGTCTGGATTAACCTGAACGAGGGGGACTACTATAACTCCAGGTTGAGCTGTGGTGGTGGCAGTGGCATCCTGTAGGAAACAAGGTGTTGTTATGCAACGGGGAAGATCGGTACTTTAGTCTAACGCAGCCGTATAGTGTCATGCAAGGATGCACACAAAATTATATGGAACCCCAACAGATTCTCTTTCCTTAAGGAGACACACTTATTCAGTCTTGCTGCTCTGGCCCCTGTGAACACGTATGGTTTTTAACAAAAATCTTCCTTCCCCTCACCACCCCTCTTCTCCAGTTCTGTGCAGTGAGGCTGTATCAAACCACAGAACAGCTCTGCATTCGCCATCACTTGAGAAGCACTAACCATCACATTACAGAGTTTGCTTCTTTTACACCTCCCTGAAATAGAAAGATCCTCACCAGCCCAACCCAAGCCCCTAAAAGCACCACACACGCACAAACACACAGATCAATGTTGGGGGGGGCACGCATGAGGTGTTAAGTATTATCAAGTAGAAGACCACAAGACTCGAGTGGCACGACGAGTGTTCAGAAATTAGGTAGAAGGGATTAGGATCAAGGGAACATTGTAATGAATTAAAGAACTGTTCACACGGCTGAAAGAAAAAAAAGTTATGGAGAAAACATGTACCATGCTGCGTCCCATTGCCTTGTATGGTGTCTGTCGCTGCTGAGTAAGGTAAGGCTCTTTTCTCATCCTGTCCTCTGTGGCAGCTGTGCTCTGGGGCTCTAGCACTCTGTCCCTCACAGCTTGCGGTGGTGACGACTGAGTCCGGGAGGGTTGGCCCGCACCATAACTAACTGCGTCTTTACTGAGAACAATGTAAAAGTACGGCCTGGGAGGAATAGGAGGAGGAGGAGGAGCAGGAAGAGACTTTCCAGTATCTGTTACAGAGGAAACAATGTTGGTGGCTGGTGCCTGAGTGAGCTCAGCACCCAAATTGGTGCTGGCTGCTGGGTCATGTGTAGTGCCAGTGGAATTTTCAGATGTGGCTGAGCAAGTGCTGTTAGATAAACAAGCTACATATAGTTTGGTGACCTTTTTATCCGGCTTCGTCTCATGACTGGAATTCATTCCAGCCTTACTACTGGGATCTGCCCTGTCAGGGTTGCGTTGTACAGATGATGCATCTGATGAGGAGCGACTTTCCAAGAGTGGCCACCCAGCATGCACCTCATCTTTGGGACCTGAAGAGGGAGAATGCCCTGCTGGCAAGCCTTGCTTCCCACTGGGGATGGCCCCATAGGGGGTAGGTGATGAGAAATAACACCGTGCACTGGCATTTGGTGATGCACGCTGTGGATAAGGCTTGGGTGCATTCAGGTACACGCAGTCCATGATGGGCACTGGCAACAAGTTGGTTGCTTTAGTGTCAGTGTGAGGACGCCATGCAAAGCTTTCCTCTTTGGGAAGAGGAGGACGGGGAGGAGCAAGGGCCTGCCCAGGGAGAGTCAAGAAGGAAGAGAGGGAGAGAGGAAGCAGCACCAAATGAAAGGAAAAAGGAAGGAAAAAATAAATAAATTCAAAGAATGAATTTGGTCATTAGACTTGGGTTAAGTAGGTTTTAATACAGCAAGAACAAAAAGCAAATACAGTATCTGGAAGGTCAGTGCAGAACTCACTCACATTCATCATCTCACACATTCTCTCTTTCTTAGCACTGCTCAATGCAGCACACAAACTTTACCCAGCTCTCAAGTCCCTGCCTACATGTTTCTCTCTCTCGGCTAAATAAATCTCAGTGCTGTATTGTTTCAAGAGGCCTGCACAGCAACACCCACCATGCCCCTGGGAAAGCTTGAGTCAAGATTTAACATCCTGGCTAACTAAGCTCAGGCTCATGCTTCAGCTGTGTAACTAGACACCTCCCAGCACTGAGGACATTTGAATCACAAAGTCGAGTTCAGAGCTCTAGGCCATCTCTGCTGCATAAGTGCACTGCTGAAAAATTAACATTGTGAAGTTTCACCACTGCTAATGAAAGCAAACATCATGTGAATACTATAGCCTGCCACAGCTGGCTAAGTAAAATGTCAGCATTTCTTCCTTCTAAAAGCTAGCTCTTGAATTCTTTTCAGGAGCTTTCAGTCCTGAAAATGCTTTCAGGAAGACCAGAACAATTAAAGTTTCTTAAGGAACTGATTTCATAAGAATCTGCCTAAAGAATCAAGATCACTGACAGGAGAAATCTTGCTTCAGTAAATAATTTAAAAAAGCTTTACTGGTTTTGGTACTTTGCAACATACAGGTTGCTAACTCCACAACTGCCTGCCAACAGCAACTCCAATTACAGTGATTTTTTTCTGAAAGCCAAATTGTTTTGAAGTAAAATAATACAGCAATAGAGAGGTTTCATTTTATTTATTGCTTTGTTGCCAGTAGCTGAAAACTATAAAGTACTGAAAGGAAGAGAACTAAAACACCTTCCCAGTGAACAGCAGCTCCCTGAATTCTTGCAAATTAACCCTCTGGAGACTATGAAAGTAGGTTTTACACAAACCCTGTTATCATATCTTTACGGGCAAAGGCTGGCTCAACCACTGCTAAAATGGCCAAAAACAGAGAACAAAGATGTCTTAACAGCTTACAGTATTCAAATCTGAAAAAATACCTCTAAAATTCATCCACATATGACAGGCTGTGGCCAGCACACATTCTTGTTATATGTATAATAGACCTAGAGTAGTTCCATGAAATTACAGCTGCTGTCCCAAAATCTACTGTCTTCATGCTGCCCCTCTTTCCATCCCTTCTCTGATGTGTAAGGGAGTAGAAAAGTGGGTTTGTAAGTGCTCCTTCTGAAGGGCTTCTGCTTCTGGAACAGACTCATTCCTTTTCACTCCTTAAGGACAACAGTTTCAGTCTGGAGACTTCAGGGTGCCGCAATATTTCCCTAGGTTAGGCAATGCCTCGCTTTACCACTACACAGTATTATCAGGAAATATTAATTCACCACCTGAAATTGCTGCTTTCCATTTTCTTCCATTTCAGCTTAGTTTGGACAGCAGTCCTTGAGACTTCTATAATAAGTACTTACTATGTGCATCAGTGCTCTCTCTGTTCATCAACAAGATCAATAAAGGACTATGGGACAGCTGTAAGTAGCAGGCAGTAAATGGATCTCTCCTTTAGGGTGCTGCTTCCCATGCCTTCATCTGAGTTGTGCCTTCTTCACTTTCACTTACAATTTCAGGAACAGTGTCTGTTCTGTGCCATTGCCATAGGACCCTGCTGATCAGTCACCCTGACAGGGCAAAAGGCTTCAAAAGGCACTTGATTTCACAGAAGAAAGCAGTTTCTAACGAAGGGTTTCCTTATCAGCTTTTAGATTGCTTCTGTGCAAAACAATTACCCAAAAGAAAAAGGATGAAGTGACACTTCTCTGAACAGATTGACTTCAACAGTTTACCTTCAGGTACAAATAACTGTGCCCTTGTTGACTTGTATCAATTACAGTATTAAAACTGAAAGACATTTCCTCAATATCTTATTTTTAAGGTAGGGTGTAACTCTGCTTTCAGCCTGCAGCAACCTCTAGGAAATAGAGGAACATAAAAGACAAAACAGTAATAGATGACTACTTCACCATTTTTCTTGAAAATAAACAGCGTCCTCCGCCTCCTTCATCCATCAAGGAAACACTGTGGCATGCCTGAACACACGAGCTCTACAGCACTCTGCTGATATCAGCGTTGCCCCCATTTTAAAGATAGGAAAAGCTGAGGCACAGCAACTTACCCAAGTCTGCAGCAAAGTTTGGAGTTCAACTCAGGACTCCTGACCATGAATCCAGTGCTTGAACCCAGAAGATCACACTCAGGGTCACAGAAGAAAGGCTTACCTGGGGCTTGCTGTCTGAGGAAAGGTTCGGACGCACACTCCTATAACCCTTGGCAGCCAGAGAAGATGGTTGGGCATCCCCATTGGCATCAATATTAGATGACGACCTCCAGTCATCTACAAGGGGAAGGAAAACTCAGGTCACAGAGGGTTCCCTGCAGTTATAGGACAAGCCTCTTTAGCCTCTTGACTTCCATTTTTTTTCCCCTTTTTTTTTGTTTTCCAGGCAACAAGAAATAATTCCAAGAAAGCAAAAGAAACAACAACATAAGCAGCAAATGTCTGTACCTGTTTCTGTGTTTTCTGGCTTCAAACCTAAGCATTTCACAGAAGGGAGGGATGGAAGAGGTGGGGGTGGAGGACAGGCATTGAGGAAAAGAAAAGGAGGAAAAATAAACCGTTACAGTTGCAGAAAACATGTACCAATTGAAGTTAAGAGTCGAGCTACTTCATTTCACACATAAAATGCTTTCTGACAGGGCTGCCTAATTACCATAGAGACCAGCCCTAAACATGATGCCCTCCTTGTTTCTGACCTTTGTAAACACAAGGCAATTCATTCAGAGCAATGAAGAAACAATTGTTCATTGACATTCTTATTTCAGAGGCAAAAAGGCAGCCCAGCGAGCTACTTTCTAAAGCTGCAGCTTGATATCCAGACACCACAAATCACAGGAAATGTAAGGACCCCGTATTCAGCCATGATGCAGGCTATGAAGACATACCTACCCTTACCAACATCACTGCGTATGAATAACTGAGATAAAGGACTGCCAACAAATAGATCAGGTTTTGCAGACTAAGTGCATGTGCACGAAGGGAATTATCAAATATGATGTCACTTTACAAGCCAGTCCCTGCAGCTGGATGCATTGGTCTCATCATCTATTTACCCATCTCCCACTGGGCTCCCCCCCACCCCTCTACCCGTTTTGCTGTTTAAGTTACATGCAAAAAGCTCTTCCAGCTCCAAAGTACATTTCATAAAGCGATTCAGAGAGTAAGCAAAGGAAGTATTAATGAGCTGATTTCCATAGTAATGGGCTCGTTGCCATTCAGGCTGCTGGAAATTTATGAAGCCATCAAGAGAAAGGAGAGAGGCAATGGTGGGGGGTAGGAGTGAAGAAACAGAGAATGGCAAGCGTGAAAAGAAGGTAGGTCACGGGTGGAGCAGAATGGGAGGAGAAGACGGAGCAGAAAGCAGCACATTGGGGCTGGAATGAATGAGATTGCCCTTCCTCCAACAATACAGTCAGAAACGATGTATGCTTTGCTTTCAAGAGCAAGTTTGACCCTCTCCCCTCTTAATGGCATCTTGCCTTTGGGAGTTCATCCTCTCTGCCAGACTCACGACACTGGCCAGGTTTGTTATGCTTTGCCTGTCTCCTACAATTAAGTAATTACACGTCTGCTATTGAAAGAGAACAGAGTTCTGTGGCGACACTGTCTGGAATTATCCCTGCTCCCTTGACAACCCAAGTGAATGCTATGGTGGCAGTATCACCACCACTCGGCCTCTTTCTGTTTCACCTCGTGCCTAGGATAAAAGAAGATGACATGAGCCTGCCAGGAAAAAAACCAAAACAACCAACAACACAAAATGAAAACCACAAAAAAAATAAAAAAAACAAAACAAAACAGACAAACTTGAGCCAATGAGTGAGTGGTCAGGAAACCTGCACCAGGAGAGAACGGGAGTTAAGTCTCCCTCCATGGATCTGGTTCTTGCAAGAGGTTTCTGACTATGCTACGGGATTTTGGGCTTTGAATTGTAGCTAAAAGAAAAATCCCAAGACCCTGGACTGACCTCACTTGAGGTTATTATGATTAATATGTTCCAGTTAACTTTCAACCCACTTACTTTCAGGTTGCTCAACATCCTGAGAACATGGTGAAGTGATATTCTGATTCTCTTCAGTGGCTGGAGATGCCCGGAGGGTCACAGCTCCTTTTCCGCTGCAGACTCTAGTGGGATCCATTTCTATAGGAAATGTACATGCACAGAGCAGACACATTGAAACAGATTATACAAGGCTATTAGAAGCCATCAGAGCTCTACAGAGTCATTTCAGCATGGCTGCCTTTGGGTGAATCAATCTAGTAATGTTTATGCAGATGAAGATTAGCTCTGGATTTAAAGCATTGAGAAATCAAAGCAGTTTCATATTCATGTAACAGATGATTGTAGAAATAAGTTCTGAGTCAGTGTAACGGAGCTAAGAAAGGAGTAAAAAGGGTTTGAACCAAACTTCACAAGTCCTTTTGGTTTTTTTGGTCTGCTTTGTGTGGAGATACCGTACTAGCAAGGACATTCTACCATTACACTTGTGGCTCTTCTATAGGAATGCCCCAGTGGTATAAAGCAATACGATTTGTGTGCTGAAGTCTTAAAAATGCCTTTTGTGCAGGACTAAGAGAGAAAAGTCTTATGACCACTGAAGAATAAAATCTTGTAACTATGTTGAATATGATCTACAGGCAGGGCACTGCAAGCCACCTCCTTTCCATCTCCCCCTGTTTCATGGCAGTGTTTCACCTTCTGACAGAGGAATCCAAATCCCACAAACTAGAAGGGGATTTAACATATACCCTGTTCATATCACCCTGTGAGCCAGACACCAGATCAAGCACAGTTCAGCACAGCTTCTGTGCAGGCTTACCTTTATGCATTTCGGTCAATGTATTTCTGTTTTTTCCTCCTGTCATCCTATTAAGTAATAAAAAACAAGTACTTCAAGGCTATCTTTCACCTCTTACTTAAAATCCTTCCGGAGACTTGTTTCCTCTAAGACACCTATAGAAACAATAAGCCTAAAGAGTCTCTCGCTTACCCGAGCTACTTCCACAGGAAAACACATCACCTCCCTTTCTCATTCACTATTACTGACCCTGCAGCTGTCATCAGACTTCACTTTAACCTACCTAAACAGAAATGCTAGCGCTACCATGACACAGCACAGGGAGCCTGAAGAGGTCCTGAGCACGTGCTGTGTTATACAAATGACAACACGATGATTTTTATTTTTCCGAGGTGAAGATCATGCTACCTCTGCATGGGGAGAGATGCAGCTCCTCTCTGAAACTGTTATTACAATGAAAGTTATGCCTTCAGACTGGACAGAAGGGGGAAAGGCTGCTGCTTACTGCCCAGACAACAGCCAGCGTTTGTGCAGATCAGTGTTCCCTGGTGATTTCAGTAAGACAATGCCCCACTAAATTCACACCAGTACATTGCCTATAGAGCATGACAACACCTCAAATAAGGCTGCAAAACACACAAACCACAGCCAAGGTGGCCACAATACAGGGAAACATCAATAGTGCCAGATGGACAACAACAGTAAGGGGAAAAACTCAAAGAATGTCGAACACCTGGCTTACATCGAAAGCTGTCTGCGCTGGAATCATCACATTGCCTTCCAATGCTTTAGGAATTTCACAAAAAGCATAGCTTTAGATCCACACTTAGAGCTGGAGAAAGGATTAAATACATAGGGAATCAGAGGAGACTTTCCCAGAGTTCAGCCTTTAGTTCATTTAGGCAGCATCGAGGCAGCCTCTGTGATGGGAAAGACCATCCACACAGACGTATCAAATGCTGCTCAATCCTTAACTATACCCCATTTGCACTCAAACCACACAACTGATCATGCCTTAAGGTCACCCACATGCCTGGTGAAATAGAAGTTAACTTCTCTGACTGATTTTCACATGATCCAGATAGGGTCAGGATTTCTTTTGCCCAGGAGTTCAGTTCTGGTAATTGTTCTCATCCACACAGCACAACACACAGCCTTAGGACTCTGTGGACACACTTTCAAACCAGAGGACAAAGGTTTAAGCTCTGGGACTCCAGTTTCATGAGTGCTGTAATTCTGAGACATGGCCACACTGCTGGGAGTCACCAGGTCTGATTTAGACATTCAGAAAGAGTGCAGGGTAGCTTTTCTCCTACACTCCTACACCTAGATTCCCTTCACAGGCACTGGAGAGAAATGGAAACACTTAGAGTTCACCATGCCATAAATATCTTCATCATATTGGAGGAGAACAAATTTGGGAATCAAAGCACTTTTTAAAAATTTTCATACAACATATTAAACCTGTATACTGAATCAAAACAATAGGAATCAGAAAAAAATGTTCTGAACTCAACAAAATTAAAATGCTTTGAAAAGGTCTGAAAATAGAATATTGTCAGACTATTTCAATTTGGGAGAGGAAGATAAGTACCCAAGATGTTGAATTCCCACACAGTTTAGGTGAAATGAAGGAAAACAAAAATCTGAATCTCTCGGTGCAGAAATACAGAAGATGTTAATAAACATGACATTAGCACTGTACTAGTCCAACAGAGCACATGTGTGACAGATTAGGAGAGACAAGCAGTATCAGCTATACTAGTCTGTCCAAATCCAAAGTACAAAAATAATCTTGTACTTTCAGTGGGAAAACACATGCTTGGAGAAGGAGTGACAGACAGCCTAACATCCTTATTTCTAAAGATTCTGTGAAGTCAGTGTATGTACAGAAAAGCAAAACCATCAATGTTGAATGATGCTTGAACCTGTAAAATACCATCTCTGACATGCATTTACTGTGATAAAGAATAAAGATATGCAAGAAACATTCTTTGGTTCATCAGGAGTTTGGTTCAAAATGAGGCTGTAATAAGAATATTATTCATGACCAAACATAGGTAGAAGATCTTACAATGATCCCAGATTCAAGTAGACAAAAGTATGTCTGCAGAGGAGCAGCATAATTGAGAACAGTGTATGCGCCATCAAGAACTAACTTTATTACCTACTGATGAAATCTACAGCTCTGGAAACAGTGAGGAGAGGATGAAGCTGCAAACTAGCCAAAGCGCGTGGGTGAAGCGGAAAGAGAGAGAGAGAGAGAGAAAAAGAGAGAGAAAGAAGAGGGAGAATGATGGCCAACTAATGCATGGCGGGGGGAGGAAGGAAGAAGATACCTGTAGGCAGCACTAGGTGAGGAGAACTTTTCACTTTCTTCACAGGGATTATTTTAACGGCAGAAATAGAGCGTGTACATAAAGGGACGTCAACAGCTGCAAACACAAAAGTGTAAATGGCACATCCAAAAGGGAAGAACAGAGCTCGGGAAGCATGCCACAAAATTTTCTAATGTACTTGGAGACACAATAGCAGGAAATTTCAAATACGAAAGCAGTCCAGAGAGCAGTGGTGCAACCGTTAAAAATATCCCTTCGTTCGCCCTAATTCAGGACGTGTCTGTTTTATGCAGCACACAGAACCGCTTACTGAATTGACTAACTGCTGACTGCCACTATGCTGCAGGCAAAAGAATCTGGAAGCATTAGTTTTTAGAAGCCATCAAAAAATTTTAGTGTAATCATTTAGCTGAGATACACTACATGCAAAACCAAAAATGTTAACGTTAATATGGCTCAGTTAAAACAAAATAAAGTGAAAAAAAACAAGGATTGAAAGGTTGAGAGAGAAACTTTAAACTACTCACATTACATGAATTCTGGATTTTATGGTACATATTTTACAAGTTCACCAACAGAATGACGTGAAACATGAACTAATCTTGAAAATAGTCCCATGCCAAAGGGCAGCATCAAAATAACAATTTCAGAAAAAATCCATCCATTTAAACAGTAAATCGAGGAGATTTCTACTGGATTCCATCAGCCAGCACACTAGACATAATAACATAGGGGAAAACCATACATAGCATGCAAAATTCTAGCAATTGTTACAAAACTGCCCAAAACAGCTGGTATTTTTTCCTTCTGACTCTGTATTGCAGCTAAAGCAGAACTGGTTAAAAAAAGCGGGGGGGGAGGGAGTAAACAAAGGTAAAAAAGGGCAAAGGCAAAACTACTCAGAGGTGAAGCTCAACAGGATCTGCCAAGATAAACATCTTATAAATCATGGTTCCACCAGAATAACTTGAGTTGTGCTCTTGCTTGCTGCAGAGCTGGGATTTTCTCCTTTAAAGCCTATTAGCTTTCTGCACGTATTAACTGGAAAAAGCGCTAGATGCCTGCTCAAATTCCATGCCGCCTCTCTCAGGCCTGCAAAACTGCAAGTACAAGGAATCACACTTCTAATACTTCACACACCGATACTGAGCACCAGGCCAGCCTGAGGGAGGCATTGCCATCAGGGTAGTGTGTACACCCCCTCTTGTGGCAGATCTTTCTGGTCTCTGGTAAAACTGGAAAGCAGAGACTTCACCAACCTAGAAAAAAGATGGGGGAAGAGCTTGACAGAATTTTTTCAAACTTCATAAAATCAGTTTTTAATTCGATGGGATTGTTTTAATTTTTTTTATTTTTTTTTAATTTTTTTTTTTTAAAAGAATAACCCAAATAAAACCCTGTTCTCCACGCTTCTCCCTGAGCACTGGAGACCCTGCAAATACAATAGATCCCAAATCCAAGTAGTCTGTGGTTTAGGAAACAACCCTAATTCTGTTCTGCTCTGTGACTGACTGAATTCATCTATCCGCAATGCAGTCAAAATACTAACCACTATAAGAAAGCATCAAAGGAAAAGAAAGGAAATGAAACCAGAAAAAGAAACAACCCATGCAACCACATACTTTCACCCTGCCAAAGCACACACCATTGCTATACAATATTCAATGCTATAAAGCACACTGCAAACCTGCTGATGTTAACATGAAGACTGGTTTGTTTAGATAAGTTTGGGTTTTAAATTGATGTTGCTAATGACAGATTTTTTTATTACTTAAACGGTTAGTTTCTGCCCTTCAATCCTGGGCTCAGACTTTCATCTCCCACTGAAGTTGACAGGATTCACACATAGACACCCAAAAACCCATGCTGTCTAAACACACTGAGATTGATTCACAGGTGCTCACAAGCACCACAAGTAGTGCACGGCTTTCCTCAAAACAGCACTAAAAATATACAAAGCAGCAAATCCAGCCTGCCACCTTTAAGAGACAAAGAACACTTGTTCAGCTAAGAAATACTGCTGCTGCTGGCATGGTGCAGCACAAGGCTTTTCTTGTATCAGTCGCCAAGCAAACTAAATTTGGAAACCCCTGCTGTAGCGAATGTCCGGGAAAATCAACCGCATCACACAGCTGACATGCAGGGGGAGCTGCAGAGATGTCGCTGAAGCTCTTAACCCACCTTTTTCTTGTCCATTGCTGCTCAGACCATTGACAACAGTTTTTGCAACATCAATTTCTTCGTGTTCTGTAAGACAAGTGAAGAAGCAGATTACTTCTGGGTTAAAACCTCTGCAACTGAATTTAACCTATGAGGGGATGCGATGGGTTAGCACTATTTGATGCATGAACTAGGATATCTCAGATGTTGCTTGGAGACACAAACCTCCCTTGGATGACACATCTGTTTCTCCTTTCCCTTTGCCTACTTGAACTGCAGTCTCTTTTAACCAGGGACTGTCTCTGTATGTGCATCCAACTCAGTGATGAGATTTTCAAGTGAGATTTTTCAAGTTTGCAACGTCCTCAGCTGACATGAATAAAACTGGTTCTTGTGAATTCAGAGAAACACAGAAGATAGTTCTAGAAAGGACCTCCAAGGGTTGTCTAAAACCATATTCTGACCCATGGCAGACACAAATTTACCTCAGTCACTGCTGACAAATGTTTGCCCGACGAGTACTTACAAAGCTTCCAGCATCACCCTAAAGTAGCCTGTTTCAGTGCTTCACAACCTGGAAGTCTATCAATGCTAAAGCCAAATTCCCAGCTCATGCTTTTCAGACCCCAGTTGGTCTCCTAGCTTTCCTCTGGACTGTCTCCAAATGGTTCACATTTTTCTCAAAATCTGGTGCTAAAAACTGGACAGGATACTCCAGCTGAGACTTTCTAGGTGCTAAACTCAAGTGGGAATATTATTCCACAGGTCCTAGATATCACACTTCAGCATGGTGTCTGCTTTGTTTTTCACCCTGATTTCACCTGTTACCCAGACAAGTCCAGAAGTTTTCTTCCTCTTCTGAATGAGCCCTCACTTTCTAGTACCTCATTTTGCTTTGAACAGCTGATTTTTCCTATCCAGATGTCAACCTTTACATTCACCCCTACTAAAACATATAAAACTTTCAGATATTTTTTTCAGGTAATCAATAAATTTGAATTCTTGTATTCCCAAGTGAATGAAGCTGAAGTGACCTACTCCAGCTCAAAAATTTTCCAGTAATTTTTTTTGGCATTATAAGCCAAATTGAAACAACAAATGCAAAGCCAGGACACCTCTTACTACAAAGCCATTCTGCTGTTGCCTTAATAGTCAAATTCCCTGAGTTTTCAAGAGCTTTGACTCATGGAGGCAGAAGAAGAATAAAAAAAAAAAAAAAGAATAATTGTATCAGAAACAGATCGGAATATTTCTAGTAAAAAACCAGAATGCCAATGAGGGCAATACAGACTTACCAGAGCTCATTGTGGCAGAGGGACTTGCCTTTTTCACTTCTGGATTTTCTTTATCTCTGTATAAAGTGAAAGGCAGAATGGTTACGTTTGGTTTCATACCTGTCCAGACAGCACTGGACATGATGCTAGACATTCATCACAGAAGTCAAGGTAATAGTCACAGTTTATTTAAAAAATTTAGATTCAAAACCCAAAAGGATTTATGTCAACCACCAGTTACATTTTTCCATAGAATCATAGAATGTATTGGGCTGGAAGGGACCTTTAAAGATCATCTAGTCCAACCCCTCTGCAGTTAGTTTTGCTGATAATTATAAGAAACTAAAGAGTATTTCCACCCAGTATGGGTACTAATTTCAGATTTTAGGACTAATCTTCAACGTCAAATTGTAAGATACTGATTAAAGCCTAAAAGTCTATATATGGCAAAGTGCAAATCTGGCTATCTTCTAATATATAAAACATGCATCACCTTTAAGAAAAAAAAAATCTCAGTGAGACTAAAAGCTTTAAGCTAAAACTCTCAACTTAGACGATTACCAGGTTTCAAGGCGATCTGTTGATCAGATTAGTCTCTCATTTGAGAGATGTTTTAATATGGAAGAGATATATTTGTCAAAATGCACATTAACTCCTGCACCAAGCATTTCCAGTGCTGCAGTGCCACTGATATTTTCAAGATCAGACTCAAGTAAGTGAAATTTTAAAATTAGAAGCTTTAATCCTCCTGGGACTAAAGACAGTGAAATTATCAACCCAAGAGAAAAACCTATCAAATGGGGACCAGAGGAGAAAAAAGTCAATTCTCACAGTCATAAGAGCCTACGGAGGACAACTGTGGCGCCTATTCATATCTAGTGCCCACTTCTGCAGGGCCTCGATACCTGCAGCAAATGAATCCATTTCAATGTCACACCACAGATGTTGGTTTGAATAGCCAAAAAGCATCATTTCTACAAAACAAGTTCATGTTTGCCAAGATGTCTCCACTCTCTATAGGTCGTTGGTTGAATTACAAACCCTTTAATTTTGTGTTCCCATCTTTTTTTCCCCCCATCAAAAGTTAGTGCTAAAGAGAGCAAGGTCAAGTGTAACTCCACCCAACTAATGGCTTCCATGACACAAACAGAAATAGGTATTTGAAGCTGCAAAACCATGCATAAACAAAGACCCTAATTGTTGAAGTATAGGAAAAAACTGCTCAGAGAAACCAGAAACTAGACAAGAGAGCTGAAGATATTTGTTTTCCTGTTACACGAACTGAAGGCAGCAAGGGGACATTGCAAGAGGTGGAAATTGCCTTTGGGTAATTGAGTTTGTTCTCTTGCCTCAAACATTCCTATTCTCAACTAGCATTTGTTTCATACCAGGCAGAACATAATGAGCATGTTCAACAGATACTCAAAAGGAAAGAAAAGAAAATTCAACAAGCAAATATAGTAACAGATCAGTCTGTAAAACCAGCCAATATCTGGGCTCTCCAGCATGCCACCCTAGCAACAGCTGCCAACACTTAATTATTTAAATATTTCTTCATTAAAATATCCACATAAGATATACACGGTTGGTTGGTGAAGGGTCAGCAGGATGCAGCCTAACTCCAGACTGATCCCAGTAAAACACAGTGTGAAGCAGAGCGTGCAGTCTAAAACCAGTCAACAACAAAAGCTGAGCTCAGCTTAAAGGTCTGCTACCTTACTTTGCCTGCCTGTACAGTATCTGCTTTGTTTCTACCATTTCATATTAGCTGTGACTACCCTGAAAAAGTAACAGTTGACACAGCCTGAAAATTTAGACAAATGTATTTAAAAATAATGGTCCTCTAATCACTGTATGCCTCAGTTACACAAAGATGCCTTAATTCAAGCAAAGCAGTATGAAACAGGCTAAAATGATGGGCTATCCAGGCTTAGGAGGTCTGTAGCAACCTCATGCTCTTCTAGGTATGGAAAACTGGTACAAGTTAAACAGGCAAAGGCAGGGTTCACCACTGCTGCAACTCCACAGCAACACAGGTCCCCTTCCACAATGGCACTATTGGAGCAATTAAACTTGTGACCCCATGCTTTATACATTTTAAACTGTCTCATCTCTGTTTAGAAACAGTGACAGCACAACTACCACAACACTCTGACATCAGTGATGTCTTTCTGATTCAAGGGTCTTGACATTGCTTACAGTGTGAAGCACTTGCCTTCACTACATTAAGAAAAGCATTAAGGAAAGAATTGACACCAAAAAAAGTACAATTATTTGGCCTTAAAAGAACAAATTACTTTTCACAATGATTTGAGGTTAAAAATAAAGCGATGATTAAAGAAGCAAGTTTGCTAAAATTAAATGGAGGTGTACAAGCTCATTAGAATTAGATCTAGAAAAATTACTTTTCCACATATCCCCACACTTACTAGCAATTATGGAATTCAATTAAAATAACAAGCATTCACTGTTCACCTACTGTGAAACTAATCAGCATGATTCAAGCACTCAAACGAACACATACTTAATGCAGGTTCCCATACACAGAATGGATTCAGCATATGCACAGGGTGAGCGTAAACTATCCTGAGCGCCTGCTGGTGTAACTTCAGAAGCTCCACTTAAAAGCTGATTTTGATCAGTTGAGGATCTGCATACAGATTTGCTGTGTGCAGGTAGAAATAACTGCTGTTCAGATTGAGGAAATTACAGTGCACGTTTGAAGCTGAGAACATGCTTCGGTGCCTTTTTGCATCAGCGGTACAGTTATTCTACCTGTCTCCCATATGTTTAACCCAAACCCCATAGTGAAGTCCTATGAGACCTATCTTAGCCCTAACTCTGCTCTTGGAACCAGGTACACGGTGCAGCCAGATGGCGCATCTGGCTCCATAGCCCCAGTAAAGCAAAGTGTTGCCCTCTGTAACACTTGGGAAGGTACAGGCTGTAAGTCAGTGTGCCGTGAGTGTTTGGGTGGTACACCCTTAGACAGAGCAATCCCTGCCAGGTTGGCCAGACAGGATGTCCATGGGCTCTGGGAGATGGTGGACCTAGAAACATTTGCTGTTCCCAGTGCCTCTCAAGAATCTCCTGTAGATACGGCCCAGTCATTCCTGTAGAAACACATGCAAGTGCACTTCAGAAGGGAGCCTTTCAATGGGAGCCAAAACCAAGAACTCTCGTGTCAATACTGAAAACAGAGAAAATAGTACTGCCAGATCAGGCAAAATAAATTTAATAATAATAACAAAAACCAACTTCCAAGTGCCTCCTTCCAGCTCCCTGCTCTAACCAGTGTCTCCTTACCAGACTGGAATTCGTGTCTTTCCCGATATGTGACAGACATAGCAACAAAGGCTTCAAAACTGCAGACAATCAAAACACAGTGAAAGGTAATAAATTGCTCAGGGCATAAGCCAGCAGCTGTAACCCTGAATATGCCAATGTCCATACGTAACATCCACCAACTCCTTGCCAGTTTGGTCATACCTCTAGGACGATGTTTAATGCTTCCTTCCTCCCTTTCACCCCCAGTACATTTCTTCCAAGGCTGTGGCTCTTTCCC